GTCATTTGATAGAGAGTAAAGGATATATCTCATTTAATCATTTGCACACACATTGTTTTTCTGCCAACGCACTGACAAGATGCCAAGTTGGATTGGAGCCCACTAAATTAGAATATACTAAACCAGTTTTACAGGTTTAGTTAAACATGCAATTATTGTTTTGCAAAGGTCATATGACACAGAACAACATCTAAACATCCTGTCCTCTCCATACCACAACATTGCTAGTTCAAATCAAACTGTTCAAATCTTTCATTCCTGACCATGAGATTTCGTCAGCAACCTCTGTTTGAGTGAATCATTAATAATGCTACAATATGATCATCACATTTGTGTTGAAATTGGCTAGAGAAGAGATGTTTAGCCTTAGCTGTTAGCTATTAGCTGATGGTAGCCGATGGACCGCACAGTCCTGCTTATAGCCTAAACGATTACTCTACTAATCAAGAAAATAATTGTTCCTGCAGCCCAATCAGGTATTATTCCTATCTTTAAATGCATTATTAATAATTTAGTCCCCTTATTCATTAGCATTGATGTCACAAATAAAGTGTTACTTGTTGAGTTTTCAGAACACGATAGTTTGATTATGATGTATTGTAGCTGTATTGTACCAAAACATTTGCACTTTGTACACAATTTGCCTTATTTGGAGTAAAATAGTAAGGTTTCTTAGCATCAGATCCTCTACTTCCTGTCTTTTTCCAGTGAGCAGTGTGCACTTGTTGTGCCAGCAGTGACAGAGCCCCACCAACAACATTGACTGTCTTCCTTATGTTACAAGTCCTACAGGATAGATTCATTCCAAATGAGTCATTTCGATTAGAGACTGCGACGGGGGGGGGGGGGGGGGGTATCAGGACAGAAGGCTGACAGGAAGCCTCTTCTTCTGCAGCTCTCTGTTTCACACTCTCTCACCTTCTCTACATCCCTGCATCTCGCTGCCTGTGCTTTCATATTTCATTTCCTCCTCCTCTCATCATGTTACACACAGATATCTTCAGACGTCTAAAGCCAGCTCCATCCGCAGCTCTGAGATTTCACAGGACTGGAGGAGCTTTGCCACTCACAGCGAGAACATTCTATAGAACCAAGCCTGTCTGCAACTGGGGCAGTATTGTGTGTGTTTATTTCTGGAAAGTCATTTCTGTGGCAGCCTCTGGCAGGGAGAAGATAAGGCCCCAATTTGTTTTCATCCCTTACTCTGTTTTCCCTTCCCTCCCTCCACCTGCTCATTTCCACACCCTCCACATGCTGGGAACTGTAGGCTACCCACTAATAATACTCTACCAGCCACGGCATATCATGGATTATTTCATTAAACATTACGGCAACAGTTATGGAAATGCAGATCCCTCTTTAGTCCCTAACATTACAAATAGACTATAAGGAGGTATCCAGGATAATCGTTTAACTTGAAATATTTCCATGTTCACTGCCTCAGCCCTAATCATTTTATACATTTTAAGTGATGTCATATTTCTTGCTTTAAGGCAGTTATTAGGAAAGTTGCACCTAATGTACAACATGTTTTTAAAGAGCTACTTTTCAGCTTCATATTAGTATTTTGTTCCTCTACTGTGACATGTCTCCATGCGCTAATGTTCAAAAAGCTCTTTATTTCTCTCATACTGCCTGTGCTGCAGCACCTCTTTTCACCCTCTGTCTGAAACCAGAGCCCAGTCTGCTCTGATTGGTTAGCTGGCCGGCTCTGTTGTGATTGGTCAACCACTTAGCCTATCATGTAACATTTGTTGGAGCGCTAGCCAATAGAAACCCAAAGAGCATAATAGGGCCTCTTTAATGAATATCTGTGGCTATGGATAGTTTGTGCAAAACTACCACTGTACTACTCTTGTTGGAATGTTACTATGGCTACAGCTGTAAGGATAACACATCATCGTTACCACAGCTTACAATGTAGTACTTCTATAGTGTTAGCCATGGTAATAGTACTACAGTACTACAATACGTGAAAAACCACCACCGTTGTATTAATTCAAACAGTTACCATGGTTACCTCTTTCATTCACACAGGATGAGACTGTTCCCTGGGCTATCGCTGCATTACTGATGCAGAAAGGCATAATTCATTTACTGTATCAGACCATCAACCTCCTCTATGTAATGCTTTCAGACCTCATGAAACACATACAAACACACACTCACACACAGTGGTGTCAGTGTGTGGAGCTGATATGATTGATGAAGTCTTTTAAAGTAATATGATCCCACTCAGCGGATAATGGCTTATGGCATATGGGCTTCTTCCACTCTCACTCAAACAAACACACACATACACTAGCACACACACACATACTGTACACACTTTGCTGTAATTGTGAGGACCGTGGTCCCACAGCATGTTGTGAGGACGTACATAAACACACACTCACAACCCGACATAATTCAGTGCAATAGTGACTTTTAGCGCCATGTATTATTTTGATCTAAAAATATATACTTTAAGTTATAGTTGAACATATGATTTATAATGATTTAATTTATTGATATATATTATTTAGAAGTGTTAAGCTATTTATGTAAATATATTTAGATGATAGACACCTTTTTTGTGAATTAGCGATCAACCTGTTTTGTGTGAGTGTGATTTTTAAATAGACAGGTGTCCTCGAGTTAGCTGGTGAGAAAACTACAGTTTTACAGTTTTACTCAAAATATTACTTAATTAGTAAATGCAATCTATTGTAAAAATAATGTTTCAAATAATGTGTATAGTTGTGCATATAATAATTCAACCAATATACTATTGGTTGAATTATTATATGCACAACTATACACATTATTTTACACAATATTTTGAGTTAACCAGAGTTTATTGTTAAATAAATAATTTTCTTGGCTATATTAAACAACTTCTCCATCCGTGCTTTTTGGGAAATGTGTGTCGGAAGTTAAAACTACAATAAGCCACTTCAGTGACCCTCTATCTTGCTAAGATTACATTACATTACATGTCATTTGTTAGACGCTTTTATCCAAAGCGACTTACTTACATTCAGTACTGTGGACAATCCCCACAGGAGCAGTTTGGGGTGAAGTGTCTCAGGGACACAACGACATGCTGACTGCAGTGGGACTCAAACTTGCTATCCCCTGATTCGAAGTCCAGCATACTATCCACTGAGCCACAGCGTCCCTAAGACTAAAATAATTGATGGTTCTAAATATAGCACAACCTGTTCACTCTATCAGTGTCTTCCTGTAGCCTGAACATCCCAAACCAAGAGAGAACAGCCTGCGCCTGAACTCTATCAGCTGTTAGAGTGTCTATGTTCACGTGGACGTGTCGTATAAACAGGATTACACTTCGGGGGTGAAAGATTACCTGATTGGGTGGGTAGATTTTTAGTTGGCCTAATCCTCACTAATGACGTGCAGGCTAATGCACACTGGAGATGAAATGACCCCATTTCTCCCAATGCAACATGTGTGAGTGTGTTTAAGAAATGGATTTGATGAACTCCTGAAAGGTTCGTCTCTGGTATGAGTCTTGGGTTAGCAAATGAAATAAATCACCCTGCTTTACACAATGTTAAAAAATATATAAATGTATTTCTTCTTGTTCTCTCAGTCCTCTGTGTATTAAATATCTCACTTTCCCTAGCTCTCTTCCTCTCCTTCCCTCTCCCTGACCACTGAGTTAATCTTATTAAACTAGCAGCTGTGATTCTGTGGCAACAATAGCGCCTTGCTAATCAGGAGATTAGCATCATAACATTGTGAATTATGCAAGATACAGACACAGCAAGAGAGGGAGCACTCTCCCACAACAGAGTGTCAGTATACATCAGTATAATTATCACACAGATAATACATAATAGCATGTGCACTTATTCAGCTAGATATGAACTCTTTATCTAATCCAACGCACAGTATGTCCAAGTATTAAATAATATGTTCAGCTGACATTATGATTATTTAAAACTACCTTAACGTCTCCATGTGAATAAGATTATATTTGTACCATATCTGCAACAGATTATGTACATGGTGCTCATTTTAAAATAAGATTGGTTATATAGAAGTGACCCTGCAGAGACAGAATAACTTTTAACATTAAAGTCAAATGCCACTTTACTCTTTCCTTGGTGGTATAAGTAGATTTATAAACCAGGGATTGATCGGATAAGTACAATTATTTTCTGCTTTTTCAATTCCACTGGGCTGAACTGTTAAAAGTAATTAAAAGTATACCCAGCTCGTTTAAACTCAAACGGATAAAGACAATTTGTGGACTGGACATACACGTCGATTTAAAAAACAGAAGCTAGCTGTATTTGAGTGGAAATGGTTAAAAATCATGGACAAATGTTTTTAATATGGAATTGAAAAGGATACTTTTCAGGTTCATAATTGAATGTTGTGCCTCTACTGTGACTGAAAAAGATCACATTCTGTCAACTATGTCATTAGTGTAGTAGGTGTTTAAAGTGTAGTGAAAATGGAATTACTTAGTTACTTTCCACCACTGGTGATGCTGTACCAAAGAAAGCATGTCCTGGTGCGACCCACCGAGACAGAGGGTAGCATCAGTACTACCAGGAGAGAATGAAGTCCCAGGAGAGTAGGGATTTATACCTCTGACACACGGTGAAATCATCTGAAGTGATGTGTTTGCAATGTGTAAAAGAGTCTCTTTTCAATCGCTCTTTGCTTCCCTAGACAGCTGTGTCTAATGAAGTGGAAGAAACATCACACAACATGGCCTACCAAGAGGAGGAACTACATGAAAACAGAAATGAGAAGCAGGCAGGCGGAGAATCTTCAGGTGGTGCTGTGTATAAAGAATAAAACATGTTTGATGTGGAGAACAAGGACCTTCCCTGCAGCTGTGCAAAACCCCTGGCTCTCACACATCTAAAACAATACTCATCTATTTTCAGAGAGCTCCAGTGAGTGGTTAATACAAAGAGATGCCCGGGTTCTGATTCATATCTTCTCCATGTCCTCCCTCAGTCCCTCCCTAATGGTCTTACCTCTCTTGGTTATGATGATGCGGAGCAGCGGGTTGGCTAACGACACAGCTTTGTAGAAGTTGTCGTCATTGTTGATTGGAAGGAGGTCTCCTTGGACGTCGGCATAGCCCAGCAGCACGTCCACACCAGGGATGCGGTGGATGGTTTGGAGGAGGCGGTAAAACGCTGTAAAGCCTCCCGGGCCGTTCCTCTTCAGAGCGAAGCGACGGTACTCTGCTTCAAACTGAGGAAGAGAACAAACACAAACATCAGATGGTGTTTTCCCCTCAGCAGTTTCTCAGCTTAGGAGATGATCGACGTGTAATTTAATACACAGACAGCTGAGACAAAAGAGATAAAGCCGTTTTAAAGTAAACATACTGATCTAAATGTGTATCTAGCAGCTACCAGGACGGAAAAACTGTCAGATACATACTTTCAGATGACTTTTTTAGTAATGAAGTGTGGCAGACATGAGTCCTTAGACCCGAAAATATGTTAGCATTTTACCACTTTCTGTTCCCACCTCTCAAGGTCAAAAGTGTTTTTTAAATGTTTTTGGCTAGATGCCTGAACATGTGGTTTACACAAACTGAAGAGCTTTTAACATCTGATCTACAATATAAAATATGTCAGTAAATACACCAATAGTGAATGTCTGAAGCTTGTGTGTCATAAAAGCGGCTGTTGCTGCTAAATAAGATGCTAAATAACACTACTAAATGTCATCACACCTATAGCCACCTTTATCTTAGCAGTGGTTATGTGAAGTCATGCAGCCTTGATGTAGTTTATAGCCTAATGTTTTTTTTCTTCTTCTTCTGGTGATTACATTTACGCTTAAAAAATCATAAAAGTGGCGTTTATATGTGGAAATGATCCTGCAAAGTGTGTAAGTATCATAAATGCCACAGATGTTATTTTCTGCAAAATTACAAAACCCAATGAGAAATCCCATTGGAGGTTTTTCAAGAGAGCCCTTTCGCTGCTTACTTCCAGGTCGTCCTACAAAAATACATCATCCCTACGTCACCCTTCATCATGTGTGGAAGTGTTATCATGTATCCCAGCTCAGAGAAGCATTCTGGGATAACAAAGACAACTCTCACTTGGCGTCAAACACCTGCTTTCGGGCTCTGACTCACACCGTCTAAACACATCACATGCCAAATAAGAGAAAGCCAAAAAAAAGCCACGCCAAGATGAAATATTTAACTAGGATAACTTTCTCCAAATAACTGGGTTTTTTATATTGATACGCAGAGACAGCTATTTTCAATGGGATTATTTTCTACCTCACAGCGCGCCTGGTCGGCAGACACAGCGTGCCGGGCCGGTAGAGTGGCCGGTCACATCTTTATGTAAACAAACACGCATGTAAACGGTAATTTATCGAGGTCAGAAAAGTTATCGAGTTCATTTTTATTTATCGTATGATAAGTCAATTAATTGCTTATCGCGACAGGCCTACAAATAGGCGCTTTCACACCGGAGTACTTTTACCAGGAATAGTTCCGATAGTTCTTGGGATTTTGCTTTCACACCAAAAGATCTGGAACTAGAACCTAGTTCCTGCGAACCTTTTCACCCCTTTTCAGCAAGCCCCCAGGATGTGCGCCGGACTCTGAGGAAAATATTCGTCGTGGCCAAACGGCGGTACTACACTTCCGTTAGGTTGCTGGGCCCGGAAACACTTTTTCCCATTGACTTACATGGGGAAAGAGTGGTCTGTAAATCGTTGGATAATTTTTTTTAAACTAAATAAACTACCCAGTATGAACGTTTGTATAGCCCTTATTAAAAACATTCGGTCCTCAAGTTGGAAAATGTGCTAATAACGTTATTCTGAGAGTTATTTTCCTCGGCATTATGAACGCGCATCTAACCCACGGGACCGCGCCGCCCGGCGCGTTCATGTTACGTGTTCAGTACTACATGTGTTTTACCTTTACCCATGGATGCACAATAAGAACTGACCCATATCGCCTTACCGTTCGGGTGTTCAGAGCAGAGCTCCCTGTCGGAGCGGCAGAGCGTGATGTGAACAGAAAAATATTTCTGTCGCAATATTATTTAAGGAATCGTTGAGCTAGCTAGCTAGCTAGCATACATTGTCACTATCTGCTAACGTTAGCTTTAGCCTTCGTTTTCTAATAGTTTTTTTCATAGGCTATAAACAGAGGTGGTATAAGTATAGATGTTGTACTTGAGTAAAAGTTGAAGTACTCAGATATTGTACTTGAGTAAAAGTAGAAGTACTCAGATATTGTACTTGAGTTAAAGTAGAAGTACTCAGAGCTTGTACTTGAGTAAAAGTAGAAGTACTCAGATCTTGTACTTGATTAAAAGTAGAAGTACCAGAGTGTAGGAATACTCTGTTACAGTAAAAATCCTGCATTCAAAATGTTCCTCAAGTAAAAGTAGAAAAGTATTATCATCAAAATATTGTTAAAGTAGCGACAGTAAAAGTAGTCATTGTGCAGATTTCAGAATAATATATATGATATGTTTTATAATGATTGATCATAAAAGTGTTCTCAAAGCTGGTAAAGGTGCAGCTAGTTTGAATGACTTTGTATACTGCAGGGTAGCTTGTGGATTTACTCCAGGTGGAACTAAAGTCTGATTTAACACTTGATTATATTTCACATCATTCATCCAGATCTGTAAAGTAACTAAAGGTATTAAATACATGTAGTGGAGTAAAAGTACACCATGTACCTCTAAACTGTAGAGGAGAAGAAGAACAAAGTAGCAAAACATTGAAACACTTAAATAAAGTACAAGTATCTAAACATTTTACCCAAGTATAGTACTTGTTGAGTTTATGAACTTAGTTACTTTACACCAGTGGCTATACAGATAGAAAGACTCTGCCTTGAACAGAGGCATGAAAATACATTTTCAAAGTGCTCAACTGTCCTGCCAAAATTATAAACTGAGTGCTACACAATTAAAATAAATGCTTTTATATATCACTAGATCCTGTTATCAGCGTAATATAAAAGTACATAACGATTTATGTGAACATTAGCATAATTACTACCTAGCTGCTAGCTGCTAACTGCCGTGGCCACCTCGTTCAACGTGCTTGATGTAAACAAGCCTTTTGGGGGGCGTGGCTAAAGTTGCGCATGCTCTGAGCGCACACACGGGTACTTCTCAGGCATCAGAGGCACTGTGAGTACATCCAACTCACAGGTTTATCATTGCTTTGAGAAAAAAGATGATTCATTTACCCCTTTTAGAAGTGAAGTTATAGTCATTTGTTCTGGGAATATCATTTTCATGCCTGAGGCCTGAAAAACAGGCTTGGGGCTCAACTGGCTAAGCTTGTGTTAAACACAGACCTTATTTCAGGCATCTAAAACTTTGAGACGTGTGAATAGGAAGTGGTACAATGCTAACTCATTTCCAGGTGTTAGGACTCATTCCTGCACCACTCTATTAGGAACATGATTAAACTCTGGTCAGGTTAGGCCTGTTTTTAGCTCATCTTGGTGAATTTGGAAAGCATCTGTGACAGCTGTTAACAAGACACAAGCTGGTTTGTCCTTCCAGGTGGTGACATGTCTATTGTTCTGTGGAGCTAGCTGGACAGGTACCACATGTATAGCCTACAATTGACATCAAATTGTGTTTCACAATTTACTATGCCTCATGACTGATTCATTCTTGTGCACAATTCTTTCAAAAAAGTACAAGGCCTTGTTTAAGGTATTTTCTGAATATTGAAGTACACAGCTCCATTCTAAACGTATTTTCTAAATCTCTAAACATCTGTTTTTTGACACTTTTCCTTAAAATGAAAAGTGAAGCATAGCGTTTAGTGATTGAAGTAGAGAGAGGCCTTTGGAGACCAATCCAATGATGTGATGTTAGAGCAAAGAAATGCTCATCATTATTTGACAAGGTGTGATTGTACCACAAAGGAAATATGTTGTTTAGGGTTGGGAGATTGAAACTAGCAATCAAAACACTGGGAATACTTTTGTCTAGCTCAATGCATAATGATAGGTTAATATATTTATGTAAATTCAATGACAACCTGTGTTCTATGAACAGCTGCCACAGCAAGATACTGTTAGAAAAGGTTACAACACAAATGGGCTTGCCAAAGTATTCACCAAAATAGTCACCACTTAACTCCACTTGAGAGAAACAAGTAAAACGACATATTTACAGGTAAGTATAAAGGATTTACTGACAAGCAATGACAATGATGTAGTGGGCTGCATTTTATCCTGTAGCATTGCATAATATCAATTTAAGAATATTATTTATATATATTACGTTTATAATTATTTAATTGCCTGCAAAAATGAATTATGCTTAACACTGAAATCTGCTCCAGTTACTTTAATGTATCTTTCATTAAAGGAACTCCTAGCTGTTATTGTAATGTACTGTATACATTTCTTTGTCAATACTTTTTCTGATAAAGATGCAGGAAAGTCAAGTGACAAAAGAGAGAGAGAGACTCTGAGACAAAGTTATCTTATTGTTTTGTAAGTATTCAAATTGATATTTTTGTGTATGAGATTATCAACGATAGGGTATTAAAGATGTCATTACGGACTTTGAGTGAACCCATGTTTGTCCCATGCATAGTGAATTGGTACTGAGAAAGTTATTCCCTTCACACCCTAAAATCTTTCCCTCAGATGGTGATAAAGCAAGTATTGACAATCTGAATCAGATCAGTGATTTGTTTTCAATATTTCAGTAAAGTCTATACACGATGCAGCTGTGATCCTTTAGAAGAGATTGAGCACAGGTCAGGAGAAACTCACAGCTTCACTACAGTACCACTTCCGGTTTCAGCCATGTCAACAACACACTGTGTAAATGTCAATGACAGAGAAAGGATCTACTCTCCCTACAAGAGAGCAGCACTGCTCCACGAATCATTCTCACACAATCTAGTCACACAACTAGTCATACAGGTTGCCTCTCAACACTTTTCTTCATGTACATGCTCCTCACTGTAAGAAACTGTTAACAAAACAATTGCAGCACTCCGTAAGGGCCCTAAAGCTGCAAAACAATACATATTCTGAACATTATTAGGGGGGGCTCAAATGAGGATCCTCCTTCAGCTTTTATTTTTCACCCCAGAAATGACAAAGTGGTTATGAAGCTATATTTAACATTCAGATTTGGAGCGTTCAAAATACCTGTTAAGTTATATCCAAAAAGTAAAAGGACTATACTCCATACCTACAAATACTGCATATTTGTTGACCATATTTATTCTCGCTCCTAAGTCATTGAAATATTTGACTCGAAACTTTAAGTAGGCTCGCTGTGAAGAAGGCTTCTTTTCACAGTGCTACATTATTAAGGCATTTGTATGTAATAGGTATTTTGATCCTGTCATTGCTCTAAGTATAAGTCTCTACAAGAGGAACATACTGTCTTATTGTTTGGACACAATATCTGTGCTGTCTTTGGTTGAGACTCTATGGAACTTCAAGCACAGAAATCAAGCAAAGAAATACAATTACCACCGTATCAATATACTGATATGTGTTGCTTGTAGTGATTTTAGTGTTTATTATCATGACATAGTATGAAAATCAAAACTATTTGACACAGTACTATCAGCACAGTGCTCTGTCTGTAATAATACAAATATACAGCTGCCAGATGTCCTCAATAAGTGGACAAATTAGTCAATACTAACAGAAATAAGCCTAATCGAATAACATGGCTACCACTCATTTCTATTGGATACAATTTCGTTTGTATTTTTTTTGGTGCACATTTCTGTTAATTTCTGTTCTGGTAATAGCATTGTATTTTTCCTTATAACTTGTTGTAATATTGTTTTACTTTGTTTTAATGCATTATTTTTGTTTATGTGTATGTCTTGTTAACATGTATTTTTATTTGTAGATCTATGTTTTCTAAATAGTTGTTATAATAGCTTTATTTGAACCTTTCTTTATATGAATCTCTTTTACTGTATGTGTGAATGCCTTGCCTTATGTATGCGCCATTACACACCAAAGCAAATTCCTTTTATGTGTAAAACTACTTTACAATAAACCTGATAAGGATTCTGATCTTCCAACAACATACTACTACTAATTGAGGTGACTGCGTATCCTTGAGTCTGTTACAGAGCAGTAATTGGATGGAAGTGTAAGGACAGAGAGGGAAACAGCAGAGAGAGGAACAGATTGTGGAGGCTGAGTAGCAGAGTCAGTGTTTTGACACCGGGGGGAAGACAGAATAGATGCGGAATAAAGTAGCAGCGGCCCGGGGTCGGGTAGCCTAGGCCCCCCATAGCTTCTCCATAATAGAATATCCCCCTGAATTAGCAGTGGGAAACGGTTAAACGTAGTGTCGGTTCGTGTGTTGGAGAGAGTGCGGAGGGGGGAGACATCACGTCGCCCTATGTTATTTGAACGACAGCGGAAGGTTATCTGTGTTGTCAGTGCACCGTCAGTGAGCGCAGTGTCCTCTCATTAACGCTGTAATGAAGAGTCCCCATTAGCCCACCACTCACTTTGCTCTTGACCTCCACTACGTTGTCAGTGAGTCTTAACGTCGTCCGCTGCTGCTGCTGCTGCAGCTGCTGCTGCTGCTGCTGGTGTCTTGACATTCTGCTCCCCGGTTGGCTGCTCGGCTGGGGCACTGCGGATAAAAACATCCACCGGAATTATGGTCGACGTTTCCTCCTCGGTCCTTGGGAACAATTCAAAACATGAAGCAGGCGAAGGGAGCCGAAGCGGTCATTTCACCTGTCGGTTAATTTCCCCTGCTTTCCCAAAAAAATAAACAAGAGCCAGGTCTCGCGCCTGTGTCTCGTGCCGTCATGTGTCACAGCTTCACAGCGCGCGCGGTTATGACTCGGTTACGACACGGACAGGGAAAAAACAGCGCTCGCGACAGGTGGAGTCCGGTAAATCCGGTATGGGATGTGAGGTACCGGTGTAACCCGTCCCCCTGTCCTCCTCCTCTCCTCCCCCTCCAGACTGACGAGTGACGACACGGAGGACACAGCGGAGGGGGCGGGACATGACGACATTACAGCTGGAGGCAGGGTCGTATGGCAAGCCGATTTAGCTTTTATTCATTTCTGGAGGATATCAAAAAATCAATTCTTACTAGTAAGAATGCGAGTTCTTGATATAAAAAATGCAATTCTTACTAGTAATAATGTTTATTTCTGATATAAAAAATTGAATTTGAACTAGTTTGAATGCAAATTCTTGATATCACAAATTCAATTGTAACTAGTTGTAATGTGTATTTCTGATATCAGAAATGCGATTTTAAATAGTGAGATTTAAATAGTTTTTCTCATCCATTTCAATGGGAGTTGGAATTTGAACTAGTTCAAATGCCAATTTCTGATATCAGTAATTCATTTGTTACTAGTTACAATTACATTTGAACTAGTAAACATACCAATTTCTGATATCAAGAATTCAATTTCAACTAGTCGAAATGCCAATTGTTTATATCAGAAATACAATTTGAACTAGTTGAAATTGAATTCCTGATATCAAAAACGGATTTTGAACTAGTTCAAATTGTATTTCTGATATCAACAATTTAATTACTGATATCAGAAATTGGCAATTGAACTAGTTCAATCATGTATCAATGCTTTTACACTTAGGTCAGTGTGTTATAAGTAGGGATGGGTATCGAGAACCGGTACTAAGTCAGTACCGGTACCTGATTGGACGGTATTGGTATACCGTTAAGCCGCTGGACAAACGGTGCTGCTATCGGTATGAATTACGCTACTTCCTTAGTTTAAACAATTCTGGTTGGTTGGGAACCCTCATCCCGTGTGACGTATCCGGCTTGAGTACCACTGATTGGCCACTGTGAATGCCACTCGTCATCTCTCCTAACAGCGCTCTTATTATTGTGAGACTCCCGGGGGCAGACCATAGGGGCAGACGCAACATCTTGCTAGAAACAGCGTCTCAAGGCTTCTTAACATTTAACAACCTATTAATGATGCATAGCCACTTAACGGGAAAAACTCAGCTAACAGACGATATTAACCATTTTACCTACACGGAACAGAAGTCCAACACCAAGAGTCTAAATCAACACTTAGCAAAATGGGCTAACGGGGCTAACGGCTACTTTAGCACATAACTGGCAAAACCGATCTTTTCTACGTAATTGTATCTGCACAAACAACATATCACATGAAAGCTGATTCCATTGGTGTAAGTCTCATCACTGTACGACCAAAACTCACTGAACTAGCAGCCAGGAAAGAGCAAGAAAACATCTTCACTTTACATAGCCATGATGATAGTTATGTCTTACCTTTGCTGTTTTGTGATCAAAAGTTGTGTTTAAGGGCATAACAACAGTTAATCCAATGTCTCTGTGTAACTTTAAAATGATTACTGATAATCCATCATTACAATTATAAATAATAAACGGATTATAATGGTTAGCCGACCGGAGCTTCCGGTTCAGGAGGTGCGCATGCAGCGTCTCGTTTTAACTGAATAATGGTCATGTTTACATGGATTTATGAACTGCCCCTAATTACCGCCCCCCTTCCAGAGACACACTGTCAAACACACTTATACCTGCTTGGTATGACATTGAAAAAGTTACATTAAATAATAAATACAAATAAATTACAATAAAATGACTGTTCACATCTTGTAATCATGTCTATAATTTTGAGCACCAAAGTATCGATAAGAGTATAGAAAAATACCGGTATCGATAAGCAGTATCGGTATCGATAAAATCCTAACGATACCCATCCCTAGTTATAATTGACGATGTATGCTTTCTGAGAGAGAATGTGCTTATTTTGAGACATTTATAAAGTTATTTGGAAGTGTTATTATTAAGTTTTGGAGGTGAGATTAACTGTTAACCCAGGATGCATGTTGGTAAAGCAGACTGTATTGACACTAATGCAACAATATAGACAAGGGCTTGTTGGCAATTTAAAAAGAAACAGTAAAGAACACCATTAGGCTACAAAATAAAAGGACCTCTATACTGTCAGATGCCCCTTGAAATGTATTGAAGTAGCCTACAACACGAACACACAGAACTTTGTTGCAATAATGACAGTACGTGTAATTATTTACTTACTCTGCTGCCTATTCATAATAATGAACAGAAGTAGCAACAACTTCTTGTAAGCAAATTCAACTAATATGCTTTGCTACTTGTTTGTTTGATGTAGCATTTTGGTTTTGATTTGGATGTTTCACCATAAAATGTGTATTTTCTTGTGTCAAAAATCGCCCAAAATAACAAATATGTAGGTGCATTCCTTGTGTTTTACATGAAAAAGCTTATGTTTAAAGCATTTTTCATCAATTGTTTTTCATGTTGTGTCACTTACATCAACAGCCAACTGCACCCAGCTGTCCCCCTTATTGCATATTGTAATGTCTAATCCTGTAAAGTTAACACACAGTTTAGTAATGAAGAGAATGGAATTTGCATTTTAAAGCACTTCAGGATTGGTTTCATCTAAACGGGGCACCTGATTCGTCTTGTCAGACAGTTTCAGCTGGGCTAAAAGATGTTAACAGTTGGGGAAAAAGATCTATTCTGTATGTAATATTGCACTATGCAAATACACTTTTCTTGCACTGCATGGCATTCTAGGAGAACAGCCTCGTGCAGCTATGAGGTTCAGGATAATCTTTTGGGGAAAATTGGGTGACAAGGTCTTGACCTCAGTGTCTTCCAACATGGCTGCCGCATGTGTCCGTTCTTTATGCTAAGCTAGGCTAACAATGTCCTTAACTTCATACTTCAGCAAGGACCGTGCCACAACAGTATGATGTTTGTAGATTTAGGCCCAATCCCAAAACCCTACGCCCTACTACACCCTATCCCTACATAACACACTCTCCCTCCGTGACGGAGTGAACTCAGTGGAATGACACTCGCAGCTCAACGAGGCTCCCTCCTGTCAGATGGAGAAGATGATGGCGAATGACATGTCAACTGTCTGGTCTGGGAGGACGTGCTATGGTCCGGGCAGAGGTAGACTCAGAGTGGGGCTTCTGTCTCCAGAAGGATTCCACTCTGGCTAATTACGGACCCCCATACGGTTCCTAGATTCTATGGTTCTCTCTCACATCACCTACTGTTTAATGTCCTGGTCACATGCCAGTACAACTACTTTAAAACCACTGGAGTAATTGTACAAACAAACACTCAAAATACTGGACAAGAAATCTGTTTATTCGTATTTCTGACAAATACTTAAAAAATACAACTTGTTGAGCTGGGAAAACATAATTAAACATGCAAATGCTTTCCTTTTTTACAAGACTATCCATAGCCTTACCTCATCTCCTCTCAGACAGTTTATCATCATACGGACAACTGCACATAGATAACAAGAGGTGCAGCGAGAGGAGACTGCATTATTCCACTCAGGAAAATGTATTTCAGTCAGTCTTCATTTTCTGTTAAAGCTGCTCAGCAATTGAACTCAATCCCATCTACAATCAGAGACCAGCAGACAACATTTAGTCCCAATTCAAAACCTGGTTAGTGAGGAATCAGCTCTGCCCGCCCCACACTGACAAAAGTGTGCACCTTACATCCTACTGTCTGTCTACACTGCCTGTGTTTTAACATGTTCTTTTTTGTTTTGTTTTGTTTTATTGTTCTGTTTAGTTTTTCTTATTAAGATTTCCAGTACTGTATGTTGCATGTTTTTATTTGATTGTGTTTACTTGTTTAAAATGAAATGTGTCTTTAGGTTGACTTACAAAATCTGTCCAGGGACTACAGATGAAAATAACCTCTTGGCTAACTCTGGCACATTTACTGAAATGTTGATTAATGTGCACTGTCCTTGTTAAATACATGCATAAATAAATAGAATGAGACATTTTAAAATATGCACAAGTTGAATATGAATGGAGACAGGTGGAGAGCATGAGGGGATGTAGGGATAAGGGAAGGGAGGGATGGAGGGATCTAGGGATTAGATTAGATTCAACTTTATTGTCATTGTGCAAAGTACAGGTACAAGCCAATGAAACTCAGTTAGTATCCAACCAGAAATGCAAGATGTGCTATATATATATATATATATATATATATATGTTTTTGTATGCATGGTCCTTCTATAAATAAATACAAATATAAATAAAAACAAGGTGCATATTATAAATACTGACAATACAGGGAGCATTGAATGAGGATATAAAATCTACAATATACAGATGTAAGTATTGACAGAGTATTAACAGAGTGCAAGTGCAGATTTTATGTACAAACTGATATTATAAGAAGAATTAAAAAATGGTTATATGTACAGTAACACGATTGTCCATTAATTACATTTAATCAGTGCAGGTGAGTGCAATGATGCTAGTGAGTAATGGAGAGGAGTTCAGCAGAGTCACAGTCTCGGGGAAGAAACTCTTCCTGTGCCTGGAGGTACAGGAACGGAGGCCTCTGTAACGCCTACCGGATGGAAGGAGGGTGAACAGTCTGTTGTTGGGGTGGGAGGCATCCTTGATGATGTTCCTGGATTTGCCCGGACAGCGTTTGAGGAAAATGTTCTTAATGGTGGGTAACTGGTGATCCGTTGGGCAGTTTTTACTACCCGTTGGAGTGATTTCTGGTCTGAGGCGGAGCAGTTGCCGTACCACACTATGATGCAGTTAGTGAGAA